ATAAACGTACAACTTTATAAAAATATTAATGGTTGAATTTTAAATCATCATCTTCACTTTTTACTATTTTTTTGAATATTTTTTAAAGAAAATTTACATACTAACACAATATTTTTTGGGTCTGGTGAGTTCAAATAAGTTTAAGGAAATCATAATCTCAAATGTATTCGATTTACATTAAAAACGTTTACTTTTTATCTAAGTGTTATGCAGATTAAATTTTGTAAGATAAAATATATTTATCTATATATGAGATATACCATTTGATATTTTTATTGTAAATTTCTCCCATATTTTATAAAATTTTATGATTTTTTTATTTTTAAATATTTTAATCTCGCGTTTGACACGGATTCATATATAAGATGAAATTTCGCCTAACTATCCGCTGCTTCACAAACTCGGCACTATTGTATTGTACACACTCGTAAGTCTTAACTCTTAAGTGTGAACATCCTCTTATAAAAAGTGCGAACATCTTCTCTCTCTAGAAATTCTTCTATGTAATTGCACTAAGATAACACTCAAAGAAATAAAAATTGATTCTATTTTACTCAATAAATAATCAGACTGGATCATAGGTTAATTAGCAATGTCTTAATTATACATTGTTGTTTATATATAGACAAACAGAAGTAGCAATCAAGCAGACAAAAAACTGTAGCACCAAAAGAGCCATGTGAGTCTGAGCTGTAAATGTTCGACTGATCAAAAGCCCCAAAACAGAAAACAATAATAAATGAATAAAAATGTAAAATCTATGTTTTTGGATTCAGATTTTAGGGTTTGACTAAAACTTTGCTAACATTTTGTCCTGTTGTGACCCTCACGTGCTTCACTTCCAGTCCTAATGGAATTTCCCCCCACGTTTCTCCAACTAGGGCTTCGACGCGTGGACCTAAACCAAGTTCTTTCGATTTTTACTTAAATACTTGTGTACGTAAAACCATTTTTGTTTTGAAAAAGAAGTGAATATTGTTGTGAATATTACAGAAAATGCCATTATTTTTAAAATTACTTGTTAAATGGTCAAATTGGATTTTAAATTGGATTTTTTAGGTTTTGGATTGGATTTAGGTTACTTATATTAAGAATTATTGTACCAAATTTAATCCAACTAAAATTTGGATTGGATCTCTTAGGTTTTAGATTGGGTTTATGTTATTTAGATTAAAAATTATTGTACTAAATTCAATCTAATTAAAATTTGGATTGGATTTCTTACGTTTTGAATTGAATTTAAATTGTTTGGAACACAAATAATTTTAACAAAATAAACTTAATTAATTTTATTTGGGTTATTTGGAGAAGTTTGAAAGTATTCTTCAAATTTCTATCGATGATTTTTTTTATACTAAAAGTTTAGTAAAATTAGGTAAATTTACGTATACTGAAAATGTTAATAGTATATTACTATTATTGATATAAGTAATTTTACATATACTTATAAAATTAATCGTAACTCGTTAATTTTGATTTAGGAAACTTTACATTTATATTGAATTATATACTAATATAATATATGTAAGAAAAAAATTTGAGTTTTATTTGGATTTTTTAGTTATCTAAAAACCAAGCCAAATAACTCATATCCAAAATAATATATATTATTCGATCCAAATGGATTTTTATATGAATCCAAATCCATACTAATCCAGGTTGTTTGGATTGGTTTGAATTAGATTGGATTAGGTTAACCAAATTGGCCACCCCTATTAAATCTACCATAATTTGGATGGCTTGTTAAAGTTGCCACAAATTAAAAATTGCCCATCTTCAAAAGTTAAATTTGCCCTCATCCACTTGCTAATTCTTTTTCTTTCATTCTTTGAAAAAAAAATTCAAA